CCCCCCCCCCCCCCCCCCCCCCGAAACTTAAGTGTTTTAGTGTGGCATGCATCGCGGCAGCTGGCTGGTTTGATGCGATCGGGGACGACGGGGTGGGTACACAAGCAAAAAAAGGCGGCGAAAGACGAAGCGGGTGGGCACGCCGCCACCTTTTATCTCGCTGCTGTAGCTGTATCGCCTCGCTGCTGTGGGCCGAACTACAAAAGAAGAAGGTGTTCGCTTCACCACAAGTACGAGTAGTGCTCCCCCCCCCTCCCCCCCTTCCCCCTGGTAACCCGGCTTTTTCATAGAGGGGTGGATGTCGGTGCTCGTTCTTGGTGTTGGAGATTCTGTCTCGTCAAAACGTTTGTGGAAAAATGTGCTGTAGTAAGCTTTGGTGTCGCGGTGTTGAGAAGAAATGTTGAGGAGAATCCGGCAGGAGATTAAAGTTTTTTTTCTTTCGCAATCAGAGGGCGAGGGCAGCGGGGAGTGCTGCTAATGCTCTGCCGCTGTGATGTCAGCAGAGTGAGTGGTGGACCCTCCTCATTATTCTGTAGTCTCTTGCCTGATTCTTTTGTAGCTCGTGCTGGGTTGGTGTGAGACCAGGGAACTCCGTTTCGTCGCCTTTTAAAGTCGAAGAGTCTACAAGAGAAGAGGATGAGGTACTGGATGCTGTGCAGGTCAGAACGATTTTTAATTGTGAAGACAAAAACAACGCGCGTACGCTTTTTGGGTGGTACCGACGTCGGTGCCCAGTGGAAGCTAAAAGTATGTTAGGGGGCCTACTTCCGTACACTGTCAAAGTGAATGAATTCAATCAAGTGCGAGTAAACGGCGGGGGGAGTAATTATGCTTGCAGTAAAGTAAGCATTTTCCTTAATTAAAATGAAATCCGCACCATCACCACCCGACGTCTCAGAGGTACAGTAGTACTACCCTTAAATTTGATAGAGCGGGCAGATTTTGAAAACGAAATATATTATAGACTAATGCTCCGTTCAGCTACAATAATACTCTGTAATTTATCTATCCCATGCATACGGTCCACTGACCCCTTTTTCTGAATTTTCATGGTGCTGTGTGCAATGGAGTCGATATGCCTTCTCTTAACGGTGACTAAGAGAGAGGCTTTAATTGTATAAAAAGCACGATGATCATCACGACACAAAATTAGTAGCCCGCCTAGACTACACATCTATCACTACCAGTCGTGAGCACAGCATGTATGTGTGTTTTGACCGAAATTACGATAACAATGGATGAGGCTAGGCGGGCCATTCCAGGCAGCGTGCATGAGACTGCCAGTGCTACTGACTGCAGACTGCTGCTGATGCTGCTGGTGCTGGTGCTGGTGCTGAGACACGGTGCCCATCGGACCACGGCAAGGAAAGCGTCCGACGCTAGAATCGGAATACAATGTTTTGAGTTTCGTAATTTAGATCTTAGGTGGACAATGTGTGCGCTTTGGCCGAGAGGCTCGTTGTTGTCTTCTCTGCGGGGGGACCCAACCCAACCGCTTCATGGCTTTAGTGTCGGGTTCTTAGGTCACAGTAACAGTATTGAACATTCATCATTTACTGCTGTCATAGCAGTGTAGCTACATACATCGCAGTATCACATGATGTCATGTACCGCCGCGCCGCAGGTGGCACCGTGGTATGCATGTTGTACATGGTACCTGTCGCCCCCCTGCGGCTCGTTTGATCCATTCTCTGGTACATCCACAGCTTGTTGTCCAGTGCCGCCGGTTGCAGCACGCGCTGGCTTCCCTATCTTCTCACCAGGCCCCTCTGGCCGCTGGTAGTAACGCATGTGAGTCGAATTTCGAGTACGGAATCAAGGGACGGTTTGATAGCCATTCGAGCATCACCGCTTCCGCCCCTCGTTTGTCACTCGCTTGTCGCCGAACTGGTCTTCTTGCGCCAACAGAGAGCGCCGAGTCGAATAACGAAGATCGAGGACATCGACATCCCAGCACATGTTCTACGTCTTCGGTGTGTAAGACAGACTTGCCGTACCGTTGGGCACGTAGCAAACAATGCATTACTGCAGGTTCAAAAATATATCATGCGTAGATTGTGTAGATCTCTCAAGTACCACCAAGATACTGCGCGCCGCTTATGCTGCAGTTGAGAACACAGCGTGGTTGATGCCTTCGGGGATCCCAGCACTTGCATGTGCTCTAGGTGGCATGGCGTGTAACCAAGTGAGCACGGACGGGTATGGACGCTTGCAGACACAGGTGTCGCTCCCTAGGTTTGACTGCATTAACTGCTGTACAGGGAAAATCAATCTAATGGGATCACTAATCGAGGTTAGACCATGAATATATATTCTACCGGAAAGTTGTACAGCATGTAGAACTAAAATTCCGGTAGAATATATATGCACACAAGCACTGAAAGGCTACCCCTTCGAAAAAATATCATGGTAAGTTGTTCTGGCCGACCGCGCAATAGGGGCAATCCCTAGGTCACGTATGGTACATACGAATTGCAGCAGCGTATTCTGTATGTGATGCGCGTGACACAAATGCAACTCTCTCTTCAGATGTCTCTACGCCCTCTCTCCGTGCATTTCCATTGACGCTCCTCTAGGTTTCATCACCCACAACAAGGGTGACCTCTGTGGACCAGGAGAGTACCCGGTTGTTTCACCGCCAGGGCGGATTCCGTGGGACGACCAGAACAGAAACCACGGAGTGGTGCAGTAGATCTCGTCCGCCTTGGTTGAGGAGTCAGACACGCTGATTTCCCGTAACATGGTGTCGGAACCCGGGGGTGAGGAGACGGGGGCGGCAGGGGGCGGGAAAGGCTCGGCATCCCCGGCAGCAAGCAGCGATGGTATGCGTAGCGATGACCCTCCCGGAAGACACGGAAACAGCCATGATGATGGAGCTCTCGAGGGATCCGCGGCCGGCAAGCGCAAGCGCCAGCACACCGGCCCTGAGGACAAACAGGCCCGACCCGCGGTGCGTCTGGAATATATATATTTTTAAGATTATTCGGTCAAAGCACGACTACGACTACCCGTTCGATATGCGTTTGAAATGTTTTTGTGGAGAATGTGGGCGTCGATGTAACTGGGTTGTAGAGTGTACCTATACTGCTGCACGGACCGAGGGCGAGGTTATCAATACGCCACGCAGAGTAATCCCTTTGTTCGACGAGCTGCGAGTTGTATCTGCCTTGCAAGTCGCTGCCTCGATGACCTACGATTGGCACACCTCTTGCCAGTGATGATGAGTTTATTGTTGTGGCGTCCAATGTTTTATCGCCGATGGTTGGTTTGGACGGGCCGCAATTTTTAGCGTGGCCACAGCGTACGCAGAAAGACGTGAACGCTGTGCACCTGTTTGTAGACCTCATGCGTCTTCAAGCCGAACGTTACACCTACGCGAGCGCTTACCATACAAGCACATGGCGCCCTGAAGCTTGAACGAACCTATCCACTGTTTCCGCTCACGGCACCTGAGCGAATCCAGCCTACCCCGCCCCCCCCCCTGCCCTCCACTCCCCATGCTCCACCCCTCGCGGACACGATGGGTGCTTTCGCGTGTGTCGCCGCCCACCAGGTGCCACTTAGGAAACAAGATAGCGCCAGTTCTACGAACACTTCCCCCCAACCGGTGGCAATCCCGAATCTGTCGTCGTCTGTGGAGGGTGAAGTGGAGCCAAGGCCCGAAGACGAGGTGGTGGGCAATGGAGGCGAGCAACAATCGGCGGCAAGCAAGTCCCACAACGCTGTAGCGGTGGCCGCTCCTCCTCCTCTTCCTCTTCCTCCGGCTCGTCCTCTTCGACCGTCTCAGGAGTCGGCGAGAGGTCCTGCAAGGCCACTGGGTGATGCGGCAGCAGGGGGCGCAAGAGCGCGGGCTAATCGTAGGAAGCTGAAGAGAGAGGAAAAAAAGGGGGCCCGGCTAGCGGCTGCCGCTGACCTCGCTTCTTTCTCTTCGTCCGCTGTCTCCGCTGCGGGAGGAAACCCCAGAGCTCACCTGCCGATGCCTGCGGCAACGGGGGCGTCTCGCCCTGCTTCTTCTTCGCTAGCTGTTGACCTGCCCGCCGCGTCCTCTTCCGGCAGAGAAGCGATGTCCGCAGCAGCGGCGCCGGCGGCAACAGAAGCACGAAGAGAGGGAAGTGCAGCAGTGGCGGTAGGAGGAAAGGGAGATGCATCAGCAACAGCAGCAGCAGCTGCTCGAGGGCCTGGACAGCAGCTCCCGCGGAGAAGGACGGAAGCGAACTCGTCCGGTAGCGCGCCACCGACGGCAGCGGCTCTTGATGCGGCGGCGGAGGTGAACACGACGGCGGCAACACCGAAGGTGATCGAGCCGGCGGCTGCTGCTGCTGCTTCTCCTGCTGCTGCTGCTCCTGTTCCTGCTGCTTCTGCTTCTGCTGTTGTTGCTGCTGTGGTTGATGTGGCGCCCACCGCCGCGACTCCCGCCATCGGTGCCGATGCCGCCGCCGCAGACACCAAGAGGCATTGCCTCCTCGTTAGGTTCCAGGGGGAAGACCTGGTGAGTGCAGTAGGTCTTGCACCCTGTCCTTGCATGGATTAGACATTGGACAGACCTCCAACAGCAGTCTCGGCCGTGCGAAGCTCCAACAGGGTGATATGGGTGGGTTGATGCCGACACGCCAGGCACAGTACGAGCAACGGCGTAGCGCGTCCAAACGTGCTCGCAGTCCTGTAACTGGGGTTCGGTAGTGAAGGCTTCGACATGAGGTCTTACCAACTTGAAGCTGGCGTGTCGGGGGCTGCTGCACACATCAAACGATCCGCGGCAAGAAGGTTGCACTATTTGGTGTGGTACATTTTCCCCCGTTGGACTCGATCGCCGCTCTAGACTACTCTGTTCTTCCCCCGCCCGATCGATTTGAAGACGTCGGTTGAACCCATCGTTCCAAGCTTTCCATCCTGCCGCAGAGTCTCACGAACTTCTTCGCGATGGGCCTACTCTGCTCACAGGACAAGGTCTCTCGATTTGTCGAGTTCTTCCAGAACGTGTTCGGAGAAGTCGATATCGCCGTTGATGAGGCCGAGAGCGTCGTGAAGTGTTGGTGGGGGCGTAGTGATCGCGCCGCCAGCAGAACAGTGGATTACCTGGAGCATGGCATCCGAGTCTGCCGGGAAGGGCCGTGGCAGGTGGGGTCGATCGAAACTGTCGACACAGGACTCTTGCAGGCCTTATAGCAGTTGATAAGAGCCAGGCGCATCGAGAGTGCAGCTATAATGGCTCCAAACACAACGCCGTGAGGGTATTCCTCGAGCTGACGGGAGCTTCCGATAGCTGAAGAAACGGCCTAGAACATTGAAGCGTAAAAGAGCACTGGAAATGTTTCGCCGGTAAGCCTGTTTGGAGCCCTGTGAGCAAGACCAATGACACAACAGTGACAAACCTCTCCGCTACACCTCTCTTTTCCACCTGCACTCACCATTCAGCCGGCTAGCTTTTCGCTGGTGCAGGTGAGGATTCCCACGCGCCCCGCAGAGAGCGGGACGTCGCGCCTGGTGCTCTCGGCCGGTGTGCCGTATCCATCGGACAAGCAGCTGGGTGCGCTATCTGCCGTCTACGGCATCGTGGCTGCTAGCGTCAAGGCGAATTGCTTGAAGGCCCAGCCGTCGTCGCCGCCGTCATCAGGCGATGGTGCCGATGTCGGCCTCAGCGGGGCGCGGCACCGACATGACGGCCTCCCTCAAAGCTTTGCTCCTCCTAGCGTGGAGGCGGCCAGTGACAGCGTTAAGGTTGCGCAGCTGTGGGGGCTCCATGACTGTGTCCAGGCCGCCCTGGATCGCCTGGTTGCCGGGCCAGAGGATCGTCTGGTTGTCGGGCCAGACAAGAATGCATACCGGGAACACGTTTCTCTGCGGCTCGGACAACGTAACCTGGAACAGCTCGCGAGCACCGGGTGGGTCCGCGAGGTGGAGCGGCGAGGGGCAAAGGTGAGCCGCACGAAAGTGCGCCGACAACGGTGCTACAGCAGTACCTCGTGGTTTTGTCGACGATTCCCTGCCGCCCCCCGTCGTCGTCTTCTTCTACCGACACACCTCGCTGTCCTAGTGTTACTTGCCGAAGGTGACTTGCGGAAGCGCTTGGGTATGTGACACGCTGGGCATCGTTCTCTTTTGGTCTCCGTGGCGTTGCACGCCGGCCCCAACTACGTCTTTTGTGGTGGTCGTTCAGTTGCTGCGGTATGCCATGTCATTTTTTCCGGTGCATGCAGACTTGTCTGCGCCATCACCATCGCAACGCGTGGTAGTTGTTGAGTTGGTAGCCATCGAGGCGTGTCCCGCTACATAGCGCACGATTAGACCCACCAAGCCTCCGCTCTTCCGTGACATCGCTGTTACCACTTCATCACATGTACTTGTCAGTTTTTTTGGTCGTTTGGGGCAAGCTTCTTTGGCATGAAACCGATCAATTGCTGCTTGCGTTGCTCCCGTTCACATTATTCGTCCCTGAAAGGTGGAGCTATACCAGCAGAGCGGAACCATCCGTGTTACGCGCTTGCACATCATCGCGGCCTCTCTAGCGGAGCGCCTTCCACGATCCGTCCAGCTGGTGAGCCGTACTGTATCTGATCTGCGCAGGACAGCGTTATCCCCCGCAACGGCAAGGTTTCAGGGACTGGCTCATGCCCAGGAGGGCAAAGTGCTTGTAACGAACGGGACGGGACGGGGGCGTCATGCTGTATAATGGCTGTCTCAGGAATGGAACACATCGTGCACCGAACTGTGGAGGATTTGCAAGGGTGTAGCGTGGCCGGGGGATGCTCAGAAGCGCGCGTAGCATGCGTTGAAACGCCGCACGTAGCTACCGCATGTACGAACTACTGTCCACCGGTATGTTTAGGCACAGCGTAATAAACCGGCCGTCCAAACGGAATGGCACCAAACTCCCATCCACCCCCCCCCACTCACCGTTGCTGTCTGCGGATGACTTTGTTGGGGTGTCTGGCACCCCTGAGGGACTGCAAATGCAAATTGACGCGGCGAAGAAGTTTACTGATAAGTGGAGATTGTGTGCCAACGTCAACAAGAGTGCCGTCATGGTATGCAACGAGGACAGGGAGGCACCAGTAGAACATAGATGGAAGTGGAGGGTCGAGAAGCCTGCAGTATCGGACCAGTAAACATACCTCAGAGTAGAGATCGCAAAAGACTGCTCGTGGAATGCAAACATGTCGAATGTAGGGGAAGAGGGCGAAGTAGAAGCAGGGAAGCTGCACCCAATACTCGCAAACCGGCACTTCGATACACGCATCAAATTGACCGTTTTGCGGAATCGTACCACCGCCAGAGTACGCCGGAGAAGTATGGGAAGGAAATAAGAAGGAAGTGAAAGAGCTCGAGGCGGCGCAGATGAAAGCAGCGAAAGTCATCCTAGGATGCTCCAAGCGCACAAGTAATGCAGCCGTTGGGGCATAACTGGGAATCTGATCCCTACGATCGGGAAGAGACGCACGGAAGCTGACATGGCAGTGTCGCATGTGCGATATGGGAGAGGAGAGGTTTCCGAGAATAGCTTGGGAGGTGGAGTGGGCAAACGAGAGGAGGGGTAGACAGCGCACGTAGTGGGTCAAGGATATAGGTGACGTATGGAAGGGGTTCGAAATTGACGAGTGCGATACATTGAATACGGAGGGTCTAGGATCAAGGAGAAGACATCTGTTGCTTTTGCCGAGAGAGAAGAACAGAATCTAAGAGATAGACTAGGGAAGACGTTTTTGAGCCACCTTTGGCAAAGTAGGCAGGAACGGTTGGCCATCGGTGATCGGCCCTGTGGGAACAATGCTCCGTCCTCTCTAGGACGCGTGGTCAATGA